TTGGAACAGAGAAAAAAAGAACCAGTAGTGCTACATTAACAAAAAGCTATCAAAAACTGTGAACTGTGAAATGATTTTTATTCAATATTTCACATATTGTGTTTCAGTAAATCCAGTTAAATGGGACTAATTTTGTTCCATTTATAAAGGAACATGCCGTTGGTCAGTGTTCTACAAGTATATGATGATATGATGATATGTATCACAATAAGGATATGTATTGTCAGATTGCCCAGCTACATAAAAGGTCTGGGTGCATGGCCACTTAAAAGTTCCTGGTACTCAGGTGAAAAATAGTAGGGGTGCCAATTATTGGGACACATAGTTTTCTTAAAAAGTGTACTTAGTTTGGTAAGACATCTTGGTTTCTTCAACAAATTTACTTAAATTAAAGATTAGATATTTTCTAAGGTTTCTGTGTAAGACTGTGTAAGACATTATTTCAAGATCATTTTTGCCCATCTTTACTAAGGATGCCAATAATTATGGAGCTGACTATAATCCTTGGAATTGATCTAAACAGCTAAAACTAAAAATCAATATCATTTTCCAACACCAATACCGATATACCAGTACAGATGATATATCAGCCAGCACTAGTAACCTCAACTAAACATTCTAAAACTGAGATGAAAATGAAATTGACCATGAAGTTCAGGGAGGACTTCAAGGAACACAGAACGTTCAATATTTCATGGCATTTACTTTTTCCCATGCACACAAAATTAAAGAGGTCACTTGAGAAATGAAACAAGTGTGAACAGTAACACATGAGGACTCTCCACAGTTCCAACAGAGACACACATGGGGAACGTGCAGTGAAAATGGAGGTGGTATGACATGTATGTATGATATGTGAACCATCTGAGCAAGAATAAAGCCCGGTCAGTGTCCGTATGAAACAGCCCAAACTGCTCCCACACATTTGTGTCCACTGCAGCAGCAGCTTTGTCTACTTTAATCCCTGTCACACAGGCCACGGTTTGCATGGCTGATGAGCTTACACGCTCAGACTTCCTGTGTGCGCCTGCTGATTTCTCCTTTGCATCTTCCTTATTTTCTTACCTGAGCTAGGTCTATTTTGCCTTTTGCTTCTAATTCAAACAAAAAGGCAGCTCATTTCCAAGCTTCAAGCTCAGTAGAAAAAAAAGAGTCAGAAATTGTGTTTCTTTAGACTACTTTCAAATTCCCACATGCCACTAGGTGGGCTGAGCACAGCCAGAAAACAACAATAATTTCATAGTCTCCATTCCAGACATCATGAATTCTGTAATCATGTTTGAAATTGGCAGAATTTCACTGTAAGTCTGAGACTGAAACTGACTGATGGCAAGCACCATATGCGTGTCATCAACGAAAAAGAAAACTTGACTCACAGCAGAAAATACAGCCTTGTCACACCTTTGTGGTTATTTGATTTGCTTGAAGAAATGAACCAACTCGTATATAACGCATGCTCCACCTTCCCCCAAAAAGGTACTGATGTGTTACATGTTCAGGCAAAACTGTCAACTTGACATCAAGGCCTTGCCTTTGATAAATACCTGTGATTCTTAAGCTTCAAGCTTAGCAAACCAAATTCAGCACTGCCTTACTATTACAAGTGCAACACTGTCTGGACTTGTCTTGTTTGCAGATTTGATATAAATTCCCTAGAAATGATTTTCTGAAATGGAAAAATTCTGAAACTTTCCACAGAAAAAAAAAACAACACTGAAAGATAAGCTTTTGAAAATCCTACCAAAAAATATGACAATGGCTCTATTGAGAAATGGTCAAATTTATAGTGGATTGGCTCTCTAATCACTGCTTCATAACACTGCCTTAACCTGAAAACATACTTCATCTCAAAGTGCCTGTGTTAAGAGCAAACTGTCAACATTGTCTATGAGCAACACAGTCGATCACAGATTTTAAATCATCCTTCCTGACTCTCACCCTGGCCGTCTTCCCACTACAGCTAGCTGCAAAACGGAGCACAGTGAAACAGGGAGATGGAGGAGAAACAGATAGGGAGAGGGCAATGGCTCAGCAACACAAACCCCACTTCCTCCAGAGGCTCTCGTATGATGTCATCCCCAACCAAGAAGAGAGAAGGCACTTGTGTTTGGAGGGAGGAGGAGAGGGAGAGGGGACTGGGGTCACACCCTTCCTGCCTCAGCCTGGAACTCACATCCTATCCCCCACACGAGGGCCAGAGACTACTGTGGGACTGCTTGAGTCACTCTCTCTATATATATATATGTACTTGTGAAAGAAAGAACAGAGGGATGTGTGTGTCTTTCAACAGCAGCTGTGGGTAAAGCAAGCTCGCCCCCCTCCCAACCTCACCCCACCCCTATTTGCGGAGTCTTGGCCGCCTTAGGAGCCATGACACATTGGCCATCTGAAAAGCATTCCTCCACGCATCCAGGAGTTGGCCCTGCCAAGTCCAGCAGCAGCTCACCTCACAACAGCTCATTATTCTTTGGGAGGCAGCTGCAGAAACACCATGCAGTCCTCATACTCTCCAGAGTGTCTTAGCTACTTTTTATCGTCTACATATCCATCATCGTATCATGGCTGAATAAAAACATAGACCTACATTTGTTAGGACTTAATTTTTCTTGCTACACAGCTGTGACAAAAAAATATGTTGCATGTCTGCATTATAGTTGTCTTTGGTATCAGATTATCAGCCATGGCCTAGTTAAAAACCTGACTAACCAGAAAAATGGGTGTCTCGCTAGCTAAACGTTTTTATTTTAAAGGAACATTATGGGGTGCAGTGGCCTTTTATAGTTATTGCTTGAGGGTGGAGTTTCCGATCAGAAAAGTCCTGCTTCTAGCCAATCAAGCTTATCCTCAACACAATTATCCGAAATGACACACCCATGCCCGGCCCGAAAACGCATTCTTTGGTAACAACTGTTGCCAGGTTGGACTATGGAAAATTCCAAAAATCCCACATATTCAGTAACTGTAATGCATAACTCACTTTTGTCCAATACATGCACATCCTTCTCACTGGGCCATGACAATGTTCATTTAGTCATTACATATTACACATTACGTTTCCAGTTTAAAATGCTACCAAGCTGGACTGTGCTGTTGTGGTTAATCAGAAAAGAACTATCCTAACAACACACCCTATCATGTGCATCCAAAACAAACATAAATTTGAAATGAATAATGCACTGAATTAAGGTGTTTTGAAAAAAATGTGCCTTCACCGATTTCTTAAAATTTCTATAGAAACAAAACAAAACCATACGAACAAAGTTATTCAGAGTGTTCTCTTTTTAAATGCTACATCCTTAAGAAACTTAACGGGTCAGAATCGTTCACAGTGGTGGTGAAGGGAACCAGATGTCTGAAGCGTTTAATGCCTCTAAAAACTACAACATAGAAAGTTATTACAATAAATGATTACTAACAAGTTGCCAGATGTCTAAGACACTTTTGCATTTTTAAAATCCATTCATGGCAGAAAAGTACATGAAGGGCGTGGTAATGAAAAACAGTACCCCAAAAAGTTATGTCTTTACCACTTAAGATTTACCACTATTTCACCATTATCAACACTGCATATAAAACTCAGAAGACACGTGTAGGTGCACTGGTGTTTTTGGATAGTAAATAAAATGGCTGTATTTGTGTCGTATTGTGACCCTGCGTCCCATCACCTCCACTGGAAAGACACTGAGTCGAGTAATTTTCACATCAAACCACCCTACATGACTTTGTTTACATCTCTGCTATTGGTTTATGAAGGATTTTTAATAAAAGCGGTTGTATTCTGTTTAAGACTGAATGAGGATTTTGCCAATGTTCTATAAAAGCCAGCAACAGTTGCAACCAAAGAATATGTGGGTGGGGCTAAATTAAGGGCGTGGTTATGCTGGACGGCTCCATCTTAACAAGGATGAAAACATCAAGTGAGGCAACCGCCAGCTAACGTGCATAGCTAAATTAGCATGGTAAGTCAAAAGTTGTGATCCCTGTATATCAATTTAACTGACAGTGTGGTGTCTTCACTGCCTTCTATATGTATTTATCCTAGATATTTGCTATTTAAATCAGATATTATCAGCTTTGACTAGCTTATTTGCAGAGGTGAAATGGCTAGCTAGCTAGCTACTACCTTCCCTGCATCACTCTGATGCACCTGAAAGCGAAACAATGCAGCTTCATTTAAAAGCACACTTTCCTCAGGTCCATGTTGTTGAACTGTTTGTACTCACTTCCCATATTTCATAACATACCTGCGAGCTAAAAACTTTGCATTAACACGTGAAATGCAGTAGCCACATCAGTGTGGATAAAAGGCTCATCTTTATTATCTGATATTAACTCCCTGCTTAGCTGAGCTCAGAGGCTCCTTGAGTCAGAAAGCCAAGTAGGTCTGGTTTACTTAAAGGACTAGTTCAGTCAAAAGCATCAACCCCTCAGATAAAACCCTCAGGTTTTATCCCCAGCTTTGCCTTGTCAGAGTCTTGGTCAGAAAAGTGCACTTGCACTTGGTGCATTAAGCCACTCTCTTAAGAAAAGATGGTTCTTCAAGGGTTCTTTAGTAAAGGCAATGCTTCTGTTTCGAACCATAAGTTCTGTATAGAACCAGTTCATGCTTAAATGGTTCTCTGCTGGGTGAAGTGGTCCTTCTGATCGATGGAGAATGTGTTGTATATGGTTCTGTATAGCACCAAAAATGTTCCTCTATTGCTACACAAGCTTGACACCGTGACAATAGCAGAACCCTTTCTGGTTCCAGATAGAACCATATATAACACATTCTCCATCAATCTGAAGAACCATTTCACCATGCATTTTTAAGCATGAAATGGTTCTATATGGAACTTGTGGTTCTAAACAAAACCATTACCCTTGAAGAACCATCTTTTTTAAGAGTGTACCAGTCTGGATCCCTAGGCTGGCCTTCTGCAGTGGAAGGTCCTGACGCAGAATGACCCACACTTAAGCCAAGAACATTTGGAGAACTGCAGACTGACCGCTCTACTCACCCTCATTTCATTTCGTCGTACTTCCACGTCGCAGACTGCATGGCCGTGGCTCGCCGCACATCTGGAGAAGCAGCAGTACTGGCAGACGGCCACCTGTTCCGCGTCGCAGTGATACAGTCTGTATTCATCGTGCTGCGGGCAGCTCCAGGCCCGCACATCCTCGGCGTCCACCAGCAGGTGCCCGGGGTTCGGGGAGGGCTGCTGGAGGTGCGTCTGGATGTGCGACTGGCAGCAAGGCGCGTTGCAGCGGAGGCACACTTTCTGCGCCGGGAGAGGAGGTCCCCGCCTGCACAGGATGCACTGCAGCACCGCCGGGGCTTTCTCGGCGTTCAGCGCGTTGAACTTCTCCACGATGTTAGTCAGCTTGATGTTTTTCTCCAGGTTTGGCTTCTGGTTGTAGGCGTGGTTGCACTCCGGGCATCGCACCAGCCCCGTGTCTTTGGCCCACGCCTCGCTTATACACCCGCGGCAGAAGTTGTGTTTGCAGGGCAGCTGGATGGGCTCCACAAACACATGCAGGCAGATCGGGCAGATCAGCTCCTCCTCGAAACAGTTTTTCCAGTTCTCAGCCATCTCAGCCGTTTGGGTAGACATCCAGGCCTGTTGGGTCAATTATCCCTGATGAAAAAAACCCATAGAAACCATTAAGAGTTTCTGATGGTTTTCTGATGCTTTTGCTATGTTTTGTATGGGTGGCTATCACAATGTAACGGTTTAGCAGGTGACCAGTGGCTGATTCTAAATGTATTGAATGGCTTCCCAATGAGATCTAAAGCTTTTCTACTGGAAACTATTGGAAACCATTAAGCCAGTTCGCATTAGAAAGCAAAACCTTTAGGGTTTAATCCTAATGGTTTCTAATGGTCCTTTTTCAGCAGGGATAGCTATCCTTTGAAACAAAAACCAAAAAAAAAGTGCTTTAAAACGAGCCTCGAGTTTGATGCACCCTTACAGTCATTCTTGTAGCCCCTTCTATACAACTTGGCGTGTGGCTCTGGTAGTCCACACAGGCGTAGAAGTGAGAAGAAGCAGCTGCTGAAGAGCCTCCATGAACGTGAACATGCCAAAGGGAGCGCCTCTTCCGCCCCTTCTTCTCCAAGTTGTCAGCAATCAAATTCCGCAGCACAGCAAGAAATCAGTAATCCTGATGTTGCAACGCGATTGCGCCGAGCGTGTTACTGCAAACCTGCGCTGGTTTGTAAGAGAGCAAACCGGAGACGTACGTGGCTCCCCAAGTCACGAAGGCGACTACGCTCCGAGGAGAAACGTCCTTCTGGCTGCGTGTTTGTGTTTGTGCTTATTAGATTAGAACCAAAGTGCGCAGAACAGAACCCTGACATTCCAGTCGACTGTGACGTCAAATGATAAATACACCACCAAAGGGAAGAAGAATGTATGGAAAGTTGTTGAACGTTCTGAATGCGTCACTAAAGCGCGTTCAGTATAAGTTCACAGCAGTTTAACCTCCCAGTCTGACGCCTGGAGTGAAATCAAACAACTAAAATATCCCTCAGTGCGTCTACAATGTCAGTGAACGATGCGCTGGAAGTTGGCAGTGTTACTAAATCTGTATTGTCCACTACTGCATAGTCTAAACCGTTGCTCCTAAAACGGGGTCAGTCTGTAAATGTAAACGAGGCATGCATAATCATTTACAAAGTTTAAACTCGCATGTGACCCCCGCTGTCCGTGCCCGGAGTTCAGAAATATCTCCAAATCCTGTTTGAAACGGTGGGAAACGAGCAGCCCCGCAGCAGAAAGTACCGAAAGCCCCTCTCAGAAAATCACATACGAATTTAGAGCTGAGCCCACAGCATATGACATTTGCCCCGGCTTTATAACAGGCCTACTGTGTATCTGAATGCTGCACACGGTGCGATGAAATATTAGCCTGTGGGAGAAGTGCTCCTTTATCTCACTCGTAAGATAAAAAAAACGCAGCACTGCTTGTTTTTATCCAGTTCGTAATTATAAGGAAGTCGGTCGCTGAAACAAGAACAAACTGCCGACACATTCTACAGTCGCGATGCGATTTCAGTATAAACGCCTGAAACCTTCATGCGCATTTTGGCAGCGCTTTCCTGAAGCTTTTTTTTTGTCTACAGCTCACGCTTACGAGTGTTCATACGAGTCTCGTTTTTATCTAACTGAGTTTTAGGCTGTTCTCTCGCTATCTGTAGTCGTTAAACGTTAAAGGCTTTTCCGAGACATTCAGCCTTCCCATGGTTAGTCACTCACAGCGCTCACCTGCCCTGCTTTGATAGCCCTGCTCTGCCTTCATTCTTCTTTTAGTTAAAAATAGTCGAGCTTTTTTTTTTTTGTTCGAGCTAAACTCGCTTAAAATATTGATGTATTATATCCAGATACCTTCCTCGTTCTTAAAGGGGACGATATCGTTTTGTCCTTGTTATCGTTTACTGTCATCAGCCATCTTGTTTTCCTGTTTAAAGCGCATTTAAAACGACGTATCTGTTTATTTTTCTTCTCATCTGTGTAGTCCTTTTCTGAAGCTCTGTCAGTTAAAGCCTGGAAATATCCGAGCGTTTCGGCGATCGTCCGTTTTAAAAAGGCGTGTTTGTGAAGCGGTAAGTCCTCCAGGCGTCCGGCGGATCTGCGCTGTACTCCAGTCTGCGTCTGTGTTATTATTTATGATTTCTTTTTTTCTCTCTTTCAAGCAAATCCTTGATGAGAGGAATGCAGGCACAGGACTGCAACTCAGGATACAGTTCACATTTACACCCCCGTCCTCCGTCACGTGATCCGCCACGGACCTGCTACATTTCAGAGGGCGGGGTTTAGAATGGGGGGAGGAGCCGTGCTTAAAAGGGCAAGTCCTTCACGCGTAAGCATCTTTTCTCAAAACGAAAGCGCTGAGTTGCAGTATTAGCAGTGTTTTTTGCGGGATCTTGATGCGTGTTTGCCCAGGTTACACAAGTTGGAAGACACTGTTTAGCATTTCCAGTTCGGTTGGTGACACAGAGTTTGCCTACGTAGCAGTCAGGCTACACATTTAACTGTGTGTTAGGTGTAAAGATGTGTGTCGTGGGCCCCTCTCTAGAGTAAATCAGTATCTCATTTACGTCTCAGACGTATAAGATCCAACCTTTTTTGCCTATATTCTGTACGTTTGTTTATAATTTTGGTTTGTGTTGGTGCCGTGAATTTGGCTATGGGAGCAACGAGGCTTTCCATTTAAAGGGGAAACTCCATGGTCGATATGAAAATGTCCGTGGTCCCCACCAGATAGTTACTGCTGGTCAGGTCATATTGGATAACCCCTACATACTAGGCCATTATCACGTAGTTTTCAAAAATGCAATCTAGAAGATTTGCATAATACTCTTACTGGCGGTGTGTGCCTTCCCTCTACTTATCGTTTGTAGTCAATTTTCAGTTCTCTAATGATGTGCTGTGTCACTGGGTGTAAGTAAGGTCTTATTTATGGCACACTTGGTTTTTTTCACTTGTTACATCTCCAAAAAGGCAGTCATATTACAGAAATAATTGCGACTGCAAACAGCAGCATCAGTATTTGCAATATCAGCCAAGCTGTTATGACTAGAGGGCCACAGTTCTGTCAGCAATATATATATATATATATATGTGTGTGTGTGTGTGTGTGTGTGTGTGTGTGTATATATATATATATATATATATATATATAAATGAATAGAGCATATATATATATATATATATATATATATATATAAATGAATAGAGCATATATATATATATATATATATATATATATATATATATATATATATATATGCTCTATTCATTTATATAGTATCCAGTAAAAGCACCAGTATGAACTGAATGACAACAGTGAATGCGTGGTGGTGGTGTGTTAGTGTGTGTTGCGCTGGTCTGAGTGGATCAGTGCTGCTGGAGTTTTTGGTGGTCATAACATTATGCCTGATCGGTGTATATATATATATATATATATATATATATATATATATATATATATATATATATATATACACACACACACACAAAAGAAAGAAGGAGAAAAACCAGGTTCACTCAGTTCTTACTGGTGCTTTTACTGGACACTGCGTCTGGCTGAACATTCACAGCAAGAAAGAATAATTTGTTCTGATATTTTGGCACACAGTCTTAATTTTGCAATATGACTACAATTATAGTGAAATTCACCTTTTTGAAAAGTGCTCTGAAAATAAAGTTTAATTAACTTACATAGTCAAAAGTATGCATGCTTGAAAGGTGTTTTTAAATAGGCAGATAAGCATGGTGTACATTTAGACCTGGAATTTTGAATGAAACATTTAAACAGTTTGTCTGATGAAAAAAAAATTGACTGAAATTTAGATTTTCAGTCTTCCACACTGCTTAGGGGCTCTTCCACACTGCTTAGGGGTTTTGTACATTGTAACATGCTTTTCTGTCAGTACTTGCAAAATAACTCTTATTCGTTGGCCAGAAAAAAAATTTCATCTTCATCTTTCATCTTCAGTAGGACATGTTAAAATTGCAGTTTTCATTGGCTCAGAGCTGCCACACCACCTGCTGAATAAAAACTCACTTGGGATGCAGGGGAAATGTCCATTCTGCAAGGCACGAAATATAGAAATGGTATGATTTACACTAAACCATTGTTAAAGTATGCATGACAGATCTAACAGTGCTCTACCAGCAGATTAAAATAACATAACCACACATTAAATTTATGTAAATAAACTTTAATGTACTTATGGGTAACAAACACAGGCAGCTTAGTGATTCAATTGAATATAAAAGACAATGCACTATTCTTAAACTTATCTCTTAAAAATGATGCACATACTGAGCTCTATTTTACATTTTGAAGAAAAAAAGGAAGTAGTGTACTTTGCAACAACATAATCCTCTCTTCACACTTTTTAAGTTTACATCTACACGGAGGCATGGAACAAAAAAGGAATGTCATGTGGAAATGTTAACCATAATATGTTGATTAAGGGAATCAGGAAGGTCATGGCAAAATGCGCTTTAGATCACCTATGCACCCTATACAGGAGAATGCTAGTTAAATACTGACTTTGGTATAGAGGAAGAGTCTCATAACTAACAACATTATCAAATTATATAAAGAGAGATAGTGTGTGCTTACAACAGCTTCAAATAGGCACTAGTGTGTTTCACCTACGAGGGCAATTTAAACCAAACCTTACAGTTCAGGAATTCATCAGCTGAAATGGTTGGCTTTGTTGTAGTTTGATTCATTAGTGTGCTTTCCTTCACATGAGAAGCAGGTTTGTGATGGTAACAGTTGGCCATCTCTGTTCATTTTCACACTACACAGACAAGCAGCTATAATCTGTTCTTGCAAAACCCCACGCCATTTCTTACAGCATGCTTCTTTAACAAGTAACCAAGTGTTTAGTATTTCCTTTCAAAATGAAGTGATAAATGACTATGTTTTTGAAAAGGACAGAAAAGGCAAATTCACTGGCTTGTTGTGAGTGGAAGTTAATTTCTCTATCACTGAAATTAGGCAGTTTCTTTTTGATTTGCAATCACAACTTTGGCATAGTTAACCATTATATATATATAACATGATGTTTCTATAAAATTATTAAATAGTACATTAAGAAAGTGTTTCACCATTCTGAAAGGAGTCATTATAAAGGTCAGTATTTTCTTACAGCACAGAAAATGCATCAAAGGGGAATTCTATCAATTTTTCAAAATCTGTTTAATTAAATGGTTAAGATGTAAACAAAGTCATTAAGAGTGGTATGATGTGATATGCTCCTTTTCAGAGAAACTTGGAGAGTGAAAAATGTTCACAGTGGTGGTGGTGGTGATAAGAACCAGATATATGAAGTGTTTAGTCATTACATGAAATGGATATAAATACTTTGCCTGATGCTGGACACATTATTTTACAATAGTTTTGAGATTCTGGTCTAATGTACTTTTTAAAACTGATGGAGGGCAGACAGGTTACAGGCAAATTATTATAAGGGAAAACAGTACCCAAAGAAACATAATTCTTTCAGATTTACAAATATTTTACCATCATCAACACTACATGAAAGCTCAAGACATGTATATGTTCACTAGTCATCTCGGATGGTAAATAAAATGGCTATATTTTGGAGGAGACAACCCCTGGTGCCCATCGCCACCACTGCAAAGAAACTCAAGTCAGTAAGTTTCTTTACAATGCACCATTTCTCATCAAAACACTCTGAATTACTCTGTTTACATCTCAGTAGAGTTTAAATCAGTGGAATTCCCCTTCGACCATCATCAAAAGTATTTTAGGATGGCTATAAACTTGCAATGCCCACCCCTTAAAAAACAGTGTAAACATGTTTTCGTCCAACCACTTCTGCAGCAGTATTGCTCCTTAAGATATGGGAGCCCATGTATAAACAGATTTAAAAAAACAAACTTGATAAACGTGTCCCTTTTGCACTCTGAAAGAATCAAACTGGGGTGAAGGCAAGAGTGTGGATCTGGGGGATTGATCACATCATTTGTGAACATGGTTCACAAACTCCAAACACCATGGAAAGCTAAACGTAAATTCCTTACATGGCATAAATTTGAAAATTAAAATAGAATCCTTCTACATGTGAAAGCACCGATTCAGGCTGCAGGCACTTGTGTGCAAGCATGAATTTGAAGGCAAAAAGAGTGAGGCCTGCCTTCTGGAACGAAACACATTCAACAGAAACATTCAAATGGCAAGTGGTATAATGGACTCAATACTTGGAGAAAAAAGGCATATTCTGTGTAGTGTGCCAATAGCTGTCCGAGAGGGAGTGAAGTGTCTGCGTGTCCGTTTCCTCCAACTGTGTGTAGGCACACGAGTCTCACTGGAGCCCTGTAGCTCAGCTCTTCTCTAGAGATGTGGGGGTAGTCACAGCCTCAGTCTTATTGCAGTGGGCTGTCAAACACTGTATCAGGCAGGACAGAGATCTTCAGCTTCTTATCAGGCCAACTGTACTCCTTTGGTAGCTTGGACTAAAGGAGGAGAAAATATTGTATATGTTTAAAAATACGATCATTACTTCTAAAACAGGGTATTATTATTATGGAGTGAATTGTTATCTACCTCTTCATGAATACTTGGATCCTGGAGGTCCCCTAACATCTGCTCAACAAACTCTTCAGTGAGTAGAATCTAAACACGAGAAAATGGAATTATTATCTTGGCTGAATAACATGGGATTTACGTGTGCAAGAGTACAGCACATCCATTACCTGTAGCCACGGCCCATGTGCTGCATATGGATGCTCCTCTGTGGCAAAGGCACCTTCCACTCCAGTGGATACAAAAGTAATAGCCGTGTCACCATTGATGCTTTTATATGTAAAGTGCCTCCCATGGAGCAGACGACCTCTACAACAGGTAGAAGAATAAGAAAGTGGAAAATAATATCATTAAATGACAGATTCAGGAATTTCACAGCTAGAGACTAAAAATGCAAGCACTCAGACTTTCTTTAATCTTAAACAAAGGGCCCAGATCTCCTTTAGTCCTAAAACAAGAGCTCATCCACAAGCAGAGCATGTTTTGTCTAAACAAAAAGAGAGATTACACATCAAAGTCGAGATTTACACTGAAACAATTAAAGTGCCAGTAATGTTTGAGGTTGCCAAAACTAGCCTCAAAAAGATTTGCTCAGTTCAGTTTATAAGCTGGCAAGTACAACAATCATGTGGTAAAAGATTTTTTTTTTCTCTAGAATAATGATGTGTGTGGAGGGGAAAAGGAACT